ACAGCCCTCCACATACATGATCTCAGGGACATGCATGGAATTCAATTCCAGTTTATTATTATTTAGTCTATTTCACAAAGACACCTGTTTAAGGTCATATATATATATATATATATATATATGTATATATTCTAATAACAGATTTGAAACTGGGTAATTTGACTCCTGCATCTATATTCCTTTTTTATTTTTATTTTTGTCAATCATAAAGTTGGAACTCAGGGCCTGGGTGCTGTCCCTGAACTCTAACTCAAATCTAGTGCTCTACCACTTTGAGTCACAGCTCCCCTTTCATGTAAGAGTCTCACAGATTTTCCTGCCTAGGCTGGCTTTGAACCGCAATCCTCAGATCTCACCTTTCTGAGTAGCTAGGATCATAGGCATGAGGCACCAGTGCCTGGCCTGAATCTATACTCTCAATCAACAGGGTTCTGGTTGAAAGTACTAAAAGGTCTAGCCAGGTTCCTTTTATGAGGTTAGTCAGTCCACTTGTGGTCTTAAAAGTCTGAGTAGCAATTACTTACCATTGACCTTTAGAAACCCTCTAGGTCTGCAGCTTCCAGGATGCCAAGAACTACACTTTCTATTCAACTTCCCATGCCCAGGGGTTAGATCATCTATGGGCAGCTGGGAAGTGCAAGGTTCCTATGAGGTGCCTCCTAAAACATACCTATGAGGTGGTTGAGCTTCTTCTGTCACAGAAGCTTCCAGAGAAAGCTGCTTGGTGGTGTAACTGGACAAGTTGGAGGCTTTTGGAAGACACATGTTTCTATAAATCAGGTACTGGGGCACATGGGCCTCAGTGAGATAGCCCAATCCTAGCTTTTCCCTCACACTGACTGGAGATTCATAGGCACTAATTAGTCAACCTGTCCATCCCCTTCCAGGGATGACTTATCTAACAAGTACTCTGAATTTCCCTATCCTCTCTTTACTTGCATATAATGTATGAGAACAGCAAAGGAGAAAAAGCACAGCAAGAAATTCCATCCTTATAGCTGGAGAAAGAGGCTCCATTGATTTATGGCAAACCACTGGGAGGCCCTGGTCTGTCTCTCTAGGCTTCTGCTAATCAAAGCTACCTTGGGCTTTCCTAGGGGATGAAGACTTATAGAAATGACAAAGCTTGCATGTATGTCCTAAGTGTAACTCAACTTGCTGTGTGATCTTGGGCAGTCTGTTTGCTTTGAATGTTTCTTTTCTTCAGTCCGTGTTAACCTGTGTTCCATTTCCTCATGCGAGAAATTGGGACAACAATAGTATCCTACCTCACTGAGTTATTTTGATGACTAAATGTAAAGCATTCAGAACAATGCCTTCTACACAGTAAACACCCAATACATGTTTCTTCTTTTCTTCCCCTTCCTCCTCCTTGTTGCTATTGCTGTTGTCACAAGAAAGATAATCTCTGAGGCTCCTGAAAGTTGAATGCTCTAAATGGGTGATGTGCTCTCCTCCAAGAAAGCTGTCTGAATTACCCTGGGCACTATAGTATAACTTGTGTTAATGTTGTGTATTTTTATATCTGAAATTCCTATACTTGTCTTCTAGGGCAGGTCCAGAAGGTAGCTGATGTATCCAGATACTCAGGCACAGGCTTGAGTCCTTATCTGTGCTTTGCTGAGAATAGTTTGGGCTATGTGGCAAGAGTTTTCAATGCCTGAAGGGGATGAGACCTAGTTTTGCGAGTCCTGAGGTCTGTTCGGCCTGTTCCCTGGACTCTGTTGCTTGACAGCTGTGAAGGGCTGTAGGGGCCTCCTCTGGGGAGCTAGAGCCCTCTATATTTCATGAGGCTCAGTCTATTGGGCAGGGCTTTGCGGCAGCTTGCTTGGTTTCTTGTACCTCCCCTGGGAATGAGCATTCTTAAAGGATCTGATTACCACGGGATGCTAGCCTTCTCAGCTCGCAACATGGAATAGCTCTGATGTCTGTCACCACCTGCATTGCACAGGTCAGACAAAGGCCCAGGTTTGGGGACTGGGAAGGCAGCTTAGTGTCATTACCTCCAAGAGCTCTTCATGTACTTTCTTTCTCGCCCACTGTCCTTACCAACTTGACATAATTCTAGTTAGATAATATGACATCACTATTAAGTTCCATAGGGGGAAATATGGAGGGGTAGTGTAATGAAGGCCTTGAAGAAATCCATAGATTAAGGAAAGCTGCCCCCCCCAAAAGAGTGGCTTTGTGGAAGCTTGGAAGGATCTTAGGGATACTTTGGTGAGAAGAGGTGGAGGTGAAGCTGTGGTGGGAGAAAGGACCGCTGTGAAGGTGGTTGGCAGGGAGAGGTGAGGATGCTAAGTGAATGAACAACAGCCAGAACGTCTGAGGGCTGAGGGTGACAAGGATAGAGGGTAGCAAGTAAGGCAGGGGCCAAATCAGTGAGACATGTAAGACCATACAGGGTTTGGCCTTTGTCTAGCAGTAAGAAGCCTTTGATTGGTTTTGTACTTCTTATCACTCTGGTATTTTTATGGAGAATGGTTTAGAAGGGATCAAGTGTTGAAGGGAAGAGACCATGAGGAAGCTCTTGCAGAAAAGTGCGAGCACCAGCGACCTGGGAGACGGCAATGGAGATGAAGGAATAAGGATGAGGGAAATGGGTGAGTTGGGATAATTCTTAGGCTGAACATCCAGAATGTAGCCTTCTAGACATCATTTCCATGTGTAGGGCCATTCCAAAGTGAAGGCTGCATGCTGGGTACAGAAGGACCTGATTCTCCTGCAGTCACATCAGGCCCCAGAAGGAAATCTCCAGTTTCAAGCCCTTTGTACCTGATTGGTGAAACCTAGGTCACATACTTTCATGCCCTGTGTCTGATTAATAGTTTGTTCTGATTGCAAAGCATATAGAGAAATAAGTATCCAGCCTTCTCTGTTCCTATTTTAGGATACCAATTTTCCCTTCACTAGGACTCATAAGTTCAAGAGTATTTCTCAAATGTAGGAAATAGGTTCATATCTTAAGAGGTCATAGCATATTTTACATATGAATTTGGGGGGGGTGTCTGGTCGTGGAGCCTGAACTCTGGGCCTGGGCACTGTCACTTAGCTCTGCAGTTCAAGGCTAGCACTCTACCACTTGAGCCACTTCTGGCTTTTTTCTGCTTATGTGGTGCTGAGGAATCGAACCCAGGGCTTCAAGCATGCCAGGCGAGCGCTCTACCACTGAGCCACCTTCCCAGCCCCACATGAATTATCTTAATGCCCACAATAATACAAGGTTGCCTATTCCCCCTTCTCCCATTTTGCAAATGAGGAAAATCCCCACTTTTTAATCCAAAGAAGCAGGACACCCAAGAGCTCTTTTAGCTCATTTATAATGATGGCTGGACCACTCTTTCGCTCCTGGCTTTTGTACTCTCTGAAGCCTTGGAGAACGGAATCAGAGCCATGGTGTTTGGTCCTGTCCACGTCTCTCCTACCAGCTTCTCTTCCCTGGCCCTTCTCTAGCACTGTTGCTGCTGCTGCTGCTGCTAAACTACTTTCTACAATATTTCCTGTCTCTCCTATGTCGATAGCCCTAATGGACTCTGAAAATTAAACAACCTAGCTGAGCCTTGGGCAGAGCCCATGTTGGCCCATTAAATTATAGCAGAAAACACCATTGTTGTTAGTTCTAATTGAAAAATATGGCTGTAAATAGCCTGCATTTCCTGCACATGGCCTGTCTATTTTGCTAAATGGGAGTGAGCAAGGGCTGCCTTTAATGGGATTCGGGAGTAGAACAGAGTTGTTCAGATGGAACTGTTGTTGCAACAGGTGTTGAATTAAATATGAAATAGTCAATGCTTTAAGTCACTGAGAAAGTAACTGCTCCTAGAGGAGACACAGCCTACTGCTCTAAAAAGCAAGCCTGAGCATCCATGGTGGAATTTTCACTACATTAAGACTTCTGGCAAGTGACAGAGAGTTTTCCTCTTCCTTGCTCATTTTCACCGCTCCTACTGAGCAAAGCCGCAGCCCTGCTCTGAAACATATTTCTCAGCTCCTCCCAAGAGGAGGCAAGTGCCACTTTAGAAACTTCTTTGAGTACTGTTATCTGATTCTTGTGAAACTCCTGGTAAGTGTAATTGAGGAATACACTTTCACAAAGAAAGGGTGAGTTAGAGTTAAGACTTGAACCTTTCACACTCCCAAGTTCAAGTTTTTTTTCTTGCCTATCAGGGAGGACACAGGTATAGCCTTGAATGAATTCTTGGCTCCCTGACCTGCTGCATAGCTCTGGAGGGGTTTTACTCTCCGAATCTCTGCTCAGCATGGTGAGTTAGACTCAGAGAAGTGGGATGGGGAGGAAAATGGAGCTTGACTACAGAGCTCCTCTGAGGGCTGTATGCTGGCAAAGGTCTCTCTATAAAAGCTACTGACACTGAGACTCTAGCTGGGCCTGAGAGTTGCCACTAGGGAATGAAGTCAGGCTGCTTCTTTGCAAGTGCTGGGAATATTTTGGTTGTTCGTTGCTGTCATTATGTCCATTTGGTGCTCTCTCATCCCAAAACTTGGATACTAGTGCTCTATTATTTAGTAGTATATACTAGCATTTGTTACTATGAATTTCTTACTGAATTTTGGAGGTGTCATCTGTAACTAAGGGGTGATGATCGTATTAAATAAGTTAATACTGTAAGAAGCATTTAGAACAGTGTCTGACAAATAGTATGTGATCCATAAATATTAGCCGTTGGTCCAGTATATCCTATGCAGAATTTTCTGGCCTGTGTAGCCTAATAGTTGGTGCATACCAGAGTGAGTAAATATTTGGCAATGGAGTGAAAGGAAGAGGTTACCAGGGGTTACCGTGTTAGGGATTTACAACAAAGGTCAAATCTATTTTGCCTTATTTGTGCGAAGACAACAGAGTCTTGGTGCAAAAGGAGAGGAACATTGGTAGATCATTCCTGCATACCTGCCTGTATTCCTTCTGGCCAAAATCTGAGAGAGAAAGCAACGTGCGCTCTCTCTCAAGGTCCTCATTGACCCATCCTGCCCTGTGTTTTCAGGGTCCTGACCGCTGTGGGCAGGCCTTGCTGCAGATTGGGATCAACATGATGGCATTGCCTGGAGGCCGCCACCTGGACCCCACTCCCCTGCCAGGGCAGCGGTAAGTCCTACAGCTATTCTCAGGACTGGTGGAGAATAATAAGTACCACTTGAGTGTTACTTATTTGAATTTGACAGAGTGGGCAATGGGAAGGAAGGAAGTGCTTATAGTAAACAGAAGTCAAAGCCCAGAGGAGGTGAAGAGAAAGGATTGGAAATGTTTTGTTTCAAAGAAGAGGGAGACTTGGGGCTACCAGAGATGCCTTCATACAGCCAAAGGTTCACATGGAGAGCCAAGTGCAGATCTGACCCAGTGAGTCCTAGAGGCCAGACCAGAACAAGAGGTGGAAGTCCAGGGTGCCAGATCCGTGTTGGCCAACTCCTTGGGTTTGTCTGGAACTGTTGTGATTTGAAACGAAAGTTCTGTGCCCTTCTGGGAGCTCCACTGTCACGGGCAACCTAAACATCTGGTCACTCTTAGCTGGTTTAGTCCTCAGAAGAGCTATGCAATATGAATGCTCAGTGCTTCTGCTCAGCTGTTTTCTCCATTTTGGCTGAGTCATTTCGATGGGGCTGTTTTGAAATGTTGTCTTCTAAGTAACCTTCGTAAGATTGTTGTTTTGTTTTATCCATTACCTACATCATTGCTATTTTACCTTTATTTTGTTCCTAACAGTTGACCTATAAACTTTATTCATTTCCCTACGTGTTTGTGTGTGTGTGTGTGTGTGTGTGTGTGTATGTGCGTGTGCGTGCGCACGCGCATGCTCGTGCATGGTGTTAGGATATGAACTCAAGGCCTTGTATTTGCTAGGTAGGTTTTCTACCACTAGAGCCACACTTCTAGTCCCTTTAGATAATTATTTTTTAAACAGGGTCTTGTTTTTATGCCTAGGCTGGTCTGGACCCTAATCCTCCTATTTAAGATTCTCATGTATCTGAGATGACAAATGCATGCATTATACCCATCTTTTTATTGCCAGGGTTGGCCTGGAATTGTGATCCTCCCAATCTCTGCCTTCTGAGTAGCTAGGATTACAAATGTGAGTGATGAACTGAGCTTTGTCTTTATTTTATTTTTATTTTTTAGTGTGCGTTGGTTTGCATTTAGATTCAGAAAAAAATATTTGCTAAACATTTACTGAAAAGGGGGCTCAAACTATATGATAGTACCGTATTTCCCACAAAGCTATGATTAGAGAGAGGTTTGAGAATGAGACATATGCTACTAAATGTCCTGAAGGACTTAGCTGTTAGAAACGTGAAAGATTTCCTGTGCAGTCAGAAGCTGAGAATAAGGGATGACATGGGACCCATCATCTTGGAACATATTTTATCTAAAGTAAACTCAGAGATGATGTGTGTACTCAGATAGAGCTTGCCTTTGCCTAGCTGGTGGTGGCCTTTCCTGAGAGGAGCAAGAGTGGTTAGCTTTGGACCTATGACTGCCTGGCGTTCAAACATTCTACTTCTAGTTGTGTGGCTGGGGCAAATTCCTGAGTTTCATGCCCTCATGTCTCATGTCTGTGGCTGGTTGCAAGTTCCTGAATTCCCGTTCTCATGTCTAGGATAGGGCTAAAGGTGATACCTGCTACAGAAGGCTTCTATGAAGTTACATAGGCAAAGTGAACTTTGTCTAGTGAGTGCTGCATGACAGGATTGTTTCATGTAGGTGACCTCAGAGAACTTACTCTGCTCAGGTAGCCAGATGGGCAATTGCTCTGGCAATGGGTCTGGGGCTGTTCAGATCTCAGTATGTTCTAGGCATGGAGAACCATTTTAGAACAGTGGTTAGGAGTCCAACCTGTGTCAGTTTGATTCTTGGCTCTGCTATTTATTCGGTGTAATTGGGGTTTCAATTTCTTTTTGTGTGAAGTAGGAATGATTCAAACTTACATTGTTGATGGTAATAAGAATATCAAATGGTATGTACAAAACACTTGCCAACACATAGGAACTGCTCATTGCGAACCCATTCTTTAGATGAGAGGTGGGAACTCTGAGTAGAGCGTGTGGGTGAAGATCAGATCCTGATAGAATTCTAGGCACTCCTGGGAACTCCTGATCATTTTTCTCTTCAACTTCCAAAACCCTCAGAGTTATTTTTACAGGTAAAAACAAACTAAACTGCATGAAAATGATATTAAGTAATTAAAAGATGATTTTGGGGGGCAGTTCGGGGATTTTTAACTCAGGATCTTCCATTTACTAGGCAAGTATTCAAGCACTTGAGCCACAAATAGCTTCAAACTTTTTCCCTGGACACATTTTGCTTATTATCCTCTTATTTATACAGCTTAAATAGATGGGATGACAGGTGTGTGACAACTCACTCAGATTTTTATTGGTTGAGATGGATGAACTTTTTGGCTAGGCTAGCCTGGAACTGTGATCTTCCCAATCTCAGCCTCCCTGAGTAACTAGAATTACAAGCATGAGCAGGCACCTGGATTTCAAATGATAGTTCTTTAAAGGCAGGATAGGATGCTTAATTCATCTTGCCTTGCAAATATCTTGGAAAGGAGAACTTCCAAGGGTTTCTGGCTGACCATGAAAGTTGCAGTCCATAATAGATGAGACATAACATGTCTCATTCTTCCAGTTCTGGCAGATCAAATGGGCTTCTGGGAGAGGAAAAGGTATTCTTTCATAAGAAAAGAAACTACCAGGTCTAATCAGAATACTGGGGAAATACAAGATCTAGGCCTATTGACTTGTCCATTATCTGCATTCTAGATCATATACACAGACAATGTTCTTATAAATACAGTGGGGTTAAGTTGTTCAATTGTATGCTGAATAATATCAGACTATAACAGCAGCTCTTTTTTCTTCGGTTCCAAGTATCAGAAACTTCTCTGGTAGAGAATAACACCACAGTTGTTGTCTACACATAAATGATTAATGAGGTGGAATTGACTTCTTTTTGTTATGTCCAACTGAAATGAAATTTTATTTGCAATGCCATTGTTCATGTCATTATATAAAATAAATACTACTGGCAAGTTACATGGGATCCTTAGACCATATAGATTAGACCAGTGGTATGTGATTCCCTTAATTAAAAAAATTAAATGAAGGACCATTCTAGGTGCAGCCTTCTGGAAGAGCGGAGGGTAGGAAATAAAAGTCCCATAGGCCAGGGATTGTGCTAAACTGGCATGGTTCATGAAAGATGGTATGATTCTGATTCTCAAGTCTGACTACATATAAATCTGCTGAGATGATTTTGTCAGTAAAAACAATAAAATAAACAAGAAAAAACAACAAAGAATCTTTTCCTAGAATCTTTAAGTGAGCCTAAATGGCTGAAAATACCTAGGACTTAGAATCTGACTTGATTTCAAATTCCAGGTCTGGAGCCGGGCGCCGGTGGCTCACGCCTGTAATCCTAGCTACTCAGGAGGCTGAGATCTGAGGATCGCGGTTCAAAGCCAGCCCGGGCAGGAGAGACCGTGAGACTCCTATCTCCAATAAACCACCAGAAAACCAGAAGTGGCGCTGTAGCTCAAGTGGTAGAGCGCTCGCCTTGAGCTGAAGAGCTGAGGGACAGCGCCCAGGCCCAGAGTTCAAGCCCCACGACCGACAAAAAAAAAAAAAAAAAAAAAAATTCCAGGTCTGTTTCTTACCAGCTCTTTGAAGCTATTTACTCTATTTGAGCACCAGGATTATCTTATGTACTACAGTGGCTGTGGTAACTATTTATAAGGTTGTGTAAGTGATTACCTTCTGGAAGGAAAGGCCTCAGTGTGCTTTGCAGTGTCCAACTCTTGCTTTCTCAAGCTATACCTACAATAGTAGTAAAAACAAAAGCACAGAAACAGTGGGACAAAGGGTGAACCAATTCAGCAGTGAAACCTACTAGACAGTATGTTGGAAATGAACTATACAACTTCGTGGGAAGAGAAGTCAGGATGGGAAAAGCAGGGAGAGAATGAGAGAGGGGATAACACTGCTCAAAAGGAAATATACTCACTACCTGAGTTATGTAACTGCAACCCCTCTATATATCACCTTTAAAATAATTTTTTAAGGGCTGGGAAGGTGGCTCAGTGGTAGAGCGCTTGCCTTGCATGCCTGAGGCCCTGGGTTCGATTCCTCAGCACCACATAAGCAAAAAGAAAAAAGCCGGAAGTGGCGCTGTGGCTCAAGTGGTAAAGCACTAGCCTTGAGCTGAATTGCTGAGGGACAGCGCTCAGGCCCAGAGTTCAGGCCCTACGACCGGACCCAAAAAAATAATAATTTTTTAAGCTCAGGTCTAAGTACTACACTAGAGGATCAAGGATTAACTGGAGAGAGCAAATAGGGCTGCAGGGGGCTGTGGCTGTCATGCTTCTGGCTGATCTTCACGTGCTGCTTTGTCTCTGGGCACCCATCATTGTGCTGACTCTCCTGTGGGTTCTGAGTGTGGTGGTGGTACTGCTGGGGCCTAGCCACAGTGGTCATCCATGGTGCTCATTGTATAGGCACCAATCTAATGCTTGTGGAGTTATGCCCACCTGCCAGCCTGGCCCTAATTTTTTCTCTCAGGATCCTGATGTTCCAGTCCTTTGATTTAGCTGTCTCTGTGGTGGGGTAAGTTGGAAGCCAGGGTCTACATAGGGCCATCTCTACAAGTCTCCTTCCTTCCCATTCCTTCTTCTTTTGCCCACAGATTGAGCTAGGACATCTTCACATTTACTTGCGTGTTTCTGCTCTTGTGAAGAAACAATCTCTCCACAATTACCAGAGGGCTGGCCTTTACTAGCCCCCAAGATAGGATTGGCTGATACTCACAAGTACTTCCTATGGCATGGGTACTTGGAGACATAGTACTTACTTAGTCTTCTCTGTGGCCCACATATATTATTATCTCTGCTTTGCAAATGAGAGCATCACAGGTCAGGTTCTCTGAGAAGCAACCTTTGAAGTGGAGTTCAGAGTTTAGGATTGGGGAATCTCTTTGGGATCAATGTTGTGAAGGAAGAGATAGTAAGTAGAGCTAGGACGAAGGTGAATTTGAACTGCAATGCTAGCCAAACCACAACTCAGCTGACTTCACAGGGAAATTTGCACTCAGAG